ATTGCTAGCCATATATTAACGCGCTAGCTGTGAAATAACTTGCTAGCTATTTATTAACGCGCTAGCTGTGAAATTAACTTCTAGCTATATATTAATGCGCTAGCTGTTAAACAACTTGCTAGCCATATATTAACCCGCTAGCTGTGAAATAAATTGCTAGCCGTATATTAACCCGCTAGTTGTGAAATTGTTAGCTATAAATTAATGCACAAGCTGTGAAATTGCTAGCCATATATCAACGCGCTAGCTGTGAAATTAATTGCTAGCCATATATTAACGCGCTAGCTGTAAAATTAATTACTAGCCATATATTAACGCGCTAGCTGTGAAATTAACTTCTAGCTATATATTAATGCGCTAGCTGGTAAACAACTTGCCAGTTACATATTAACGCGCTAGCTGTGAAATAACTTGCTAGCCATATATTGACCCCCTAGCTGTGAAATTGTTAGCTATAAATTAATGCACAAGCTGTGAAATTGCTAGCCATATATTAACGCGTTAGCTGTGAAATTAATTGCTAGCCATATATTAACGCGCTAGCTGTAAAATTAATTACTAGCCATATATTAACGCGCTAGCTGTGAAATTACCTTCTAGCTATATATTAACACGCTAGCTGTGAAATTACCTGCTAGCCATATATTAATGCGCTAGCTGTGAAATTACCTCCTAGCCATATATTAACGCGCTAGCTGTGAAATTACCTGCTAGCCATATATTAACGCGCTAGCTGTGAAATAACTTGCTAGCCGTATATTAACCCGCTACCTGTTAAACAACTTGTTACCCATATATTAACCCGCTAGCTGATAAATAACGTTCTAGCCATATATATACCCGCTAGCTGTTAAACAACTTGCTAGCCATATATTAACCCGCTAGCTGTGAAATAACTTGCTAGCCATATATTAACAAGCTAGCTGTGAAATTGCTAGCCATATATTAACGCACTAGCTGTTAAACAACTTGCTAGCCATATATTAACCCGCTATCTGTTAAACAACTTTCTAGCCATATATTAACACGCTAGCTGTTAAACATCTTGCTAGCCATATATTAACCCGCTAGCTGTGAAATAACTTGCTAGCCGTAAATTAACCCGCTAGTTGTGAAACAACTTGCCAGTTATATATTAACGCGCTAGCTGTGAAATAACTTGCTAGCCATATATTAACCCCCTAGCTGTGAAATTGTTAGCTATAAATTAATGCACAAGCTGTGAAATTGCTAGCCATATATCAACGCGCTAGCTGTGAAATTAATTGCTAGCCATATATTAACGCGCTAACTGTAAAATTAATTACTAGCCATATATTAACGCGCTAGCTGTGAAATTACCTTCTAGCTATATATTAACACGCTAGCTGTGAAATTACCTGCTAGCCATATATTAATGCGCTAGCTGTGAAATTACCTCCTAGCCATATATTAACGCGCTAGCTGTAAAATTAATTGCTAGCCATATATTAACGCGCTAGCTGTGAAATTACATGCTAGCCATATATTAACGCGCTAGCTGTAAAATTAATTGCTAGCCATATATTAACGCGCTAGCTGTAAAATTAATTGCTAGCCATATATTAACGCGCTAGCTGTGAAATAACTTGCTAGCTATTTATTAACACGCTAGCTGTGAAATTAACTTCTAGCTATATATTAATGCGCTAGCTGTTAAACAACTTGCTAGCCATATATTAACCCGCTAGCTGTGAAATAAATTGCTAGCCGTATATTAACCCGCTAGTTGTGAAATTGTTAGCTATAAATTAATGCACAAGCTGTGAAATTGCTAGCCATATATCAACGCGCTAGCTGTGAAATTAATTGCTAGCCATATATTAACGCGCTAGCTGTAAAATTAATTACTAGCCATATATTAACGCGCTAGCTGTGAAATTAACTTCTAGCTATATATTAATGCGCTAGCTGGTAACCAACTTGCCAGTTACATATTAACGCGCTAGCTGTGAAATAACTTGCTAGCCATATATTGACCCCCTAGCTGTGAAATTGTTAGCTATAAATTAATGCACAAGCTGTGAAATTGCTAGCCATAAATCAACGCGCTAGCTGTGAAATTAATTGCTAGCCATATATTAACGCGCTAGCTGTAAAATTAATTACTAGCCATATATTAACGCGCTAGCTGTGAAATTACCTTCTAGCTATATATTAACACGCTAGCTGTGAAATTACCTGCTAGCGATTATATTAATGCGCTAGCTGTGAAATTACCTCCTAGCCATATATTAACGCGCTAGCTGTGAAATTACCTGCTAGCCATATATTAACGCGCTAGCTGTGAAATAACTTGCTAGCCGTATATTAACCGCTACCTGTAAACAACTTGTTAGCCATATATTAACCCGCTAGCTGATAAATAACGTTCTAGCCATATATATACCCGCTAGCTGTTAAACAACTTGCTAGCCATATATTAACCCGCTAGCTGTGAAATAACTTGCTAGCCATATATTAACAAGCTAGCTGTGAAATTGCTAGCCATATATTAACGTGCTAGCTGTTAAACAACTTGCTAGCCATATATTAACCCGCTATCTGTTAAAACAACTTTCTAGCCATATATTAACACGCTAGCTGTAAACAACTTGCTAGCCATATATTAACCCGCTAGCTGTGAAATACTTGCTAGCCGTATATTAACCCCTAGTTGTGAAACAACTTGCCAGTTATATATTAACGCGCTAGCTGTGAAATAACTTGCTAGCCATATATTAACCCCCTAGCTGTGAAATTGTTAGCTATAAATTAATGCACAAGCTGTGAAATTGCTAGCCATATATCAACGCGCTAGCTGTGAAATTAATTGCTAGCCATATATTAACGCGCTAGCTGTAAAATTAATTACTAGCCATATATTAACGCGCTAGCTGTGAAATTACCTTCTAGCTATATATTAACACGCTAGCTGTGAAATTACCTGCTAGCCATATATTAATGCGCTAGCTGTGAAATTACCTCCTAGCCATATATTAACGCGCTAGCTGTGAAATTACCTGCTAGCCATATATTAACGCGCTAGCTGTGAAATAACTTGCTAGCCATATATTAACCCGCTACCGGTTAAACAACTTGTTAGCCATATATTAACCCGCTAGCTGATAAACAACGTTCTAGCCATATATATACCCGCTAGCTGTTAAACAACTTGCTAGCCATATATTAACCCGCTAGCTGTGAAATAACTTGCTAGCCATATATTAACCTGCTAGCTGTGAAATTGCTAGCCATATATTAACGCGCTAGCTGTGAAATTACCTGCTAGCCATATATTAACGCGCTAGCTGTGAAATAACTTGCTAGCCATATATTAACGTGCTAGCTGTGAAATTAATCGCTAGCCATATATTAACGCGCTAGCTGTGAAATTAATTGCTAGCCATATATTAACACGCTAGCTGTGAAATAACATGCTAGCCATATATTAACCCGCTAGCTATGGAATTGCTAGCCATATATTAACGCGCTAGCTGTGAAACAACTTGCTAGCCATATATTAACGCGCTAGCTGTGAAACAACTTGCTAACTATGTATTAACACGCTAGCAGTGAAATAACTTACTAGCCATATATTAACGTGCTAGCTGTGAAACAACTTGCCAGTTATATATTAACGCGCTAGCTGTGAAATAACTTGCTAGCCATATATTAACGCGCTAGCTGTGAAATTTATTGCTAGCCCTATATTAACGCGCTAGCTGTGAAATTACCTGCTAGCCATATATTAACGCGCTAGCTGTAAAATTAATTGCTAGCCATATATTAACGTGCTAGCTGTAAAATTAATTGCTAGCCATATATTAACGCGCTAGCTGTGAAATAACTTGCTAGCCATATATTAACGCGCAAGCTGGGAAATTACCTGCTAGCCATATATTAACGCGCTAGCTGTAAAATTAATTGCTAGCCATATATTAACGCGCTAGCTTTGAAATTAATTGCTAGCCATATATTAACGCGCTAGCTGTGAAATTAATTGCTAGCCATATATTAACACGCTAGCTGTGAAACTGCTAGCCATATATTAACGCGCTAGCTGTTAAACAACTTGCTAGCCGTATATTAACCCGCTAGCCGTGAAATAACTTGCTAGCCATATATTAACGCGCTAGTTGTGAAATTGCTAGCCATATATTAACGCGCTAGCTGTTAAACAACTTGCTAGCCGTATATTAACGCGCTAGCTGTGAAATTAATTGCTAGCCATATATTAACGCGCTAGCTGTGAAATTAATTGCTAGCCGTATATTAACGCACTAGCTGTGAAATTGTTAGCTGTATATTAACGCGCTAGCTGTGAAATTGCTAGCCATACATTAACGCGCTAGCTGTAAAATTAATTGCAAGCTATATATTAACCTATTATTATTATTAATTATATTTGCCAATCAGAACACAGCTCATTTACATATATCAGTCTTAAAGACACAGAAACAAATACAGACTGTTTAATTATAAAGAATAAAGATAAAAATGATCATCTAAAAATGAATAATTACTGTTTTATACACAAAACCACACAAACACTATAAACAGAGCTCAGAGTGAAAAATACAAGAGTCGAATACAGAAAAGAGTAATAAGGAGAGAGACAGAGAGAGAGAGAGAGAGTGAAAGAGAGAGAGAGACAGAGAGAGAGAGACAGAGAGAGACAGACAGACAGACAGAGAGAGAGTGAGAGAGAGAGAGAGACAGATACAGAGACAGACAGACAGAGAGAGAGACAGAGAGAGAGAGTGAGAGAGAGAGAGAGACAGAGAGAGATAGAGGGAGAAACAGAGAGAGAGACACACAGACAGAGAGGGAGAGAAAGAGAGAGAGACAGACAGAGAGAGAGAGAGAGACAGAGAGACAGAGAGAGAGAGAGACAGAGAGACAGAGAGAGAGAGAGACAGAGAGAGAGAGAGAGACAGAGACAGAGACGGAGAGACAGAGACAGAGAGACAGAGAGAGAGAGAGAGAGAGAGAGAGAGAGAGTAACCTGTTCTCAGACACATTGTTATTTTATTTTAAACACACTGAGCCGTAACCCCAAACCCCAAACCCAGCGTATAGAGGTTCAGTGAATGTGGTGTTGAAAGTGTGTAGATGGGTCAGTTTATCAGTGGAGACGCTGTAGAAGGACAGAGAGCCGGCCGGACAGTCCAGATACACTCCTACTGTCCCAGAGCTGGAGGGACGAGCAGAGAGATCAGTGCTGATATTATTGTGACAGACAGAGTATCTGTTATTAGAGCAGATCAGAATCCAGGACTTTACATTCCCTCCAAACTCACAGTCATCACTGTCTCCTTTCCTGCTGATTGATTTATATGTTACTGCTATTTCAACACCTCCGCTCCACTCAGCCTCCCAGTAACAGCGTCCAGTCAGACTCTCTCTACACAGAACCTGATAACACTGATCAAATCTCTCTGGATGATCAGGATACGACTGTGAAGATCCCACATTCACCACCTTTCTGTTCCCGTCAGACAGAGAGAGAGAACTGTGCGCTGTGTTTGGATCCAGAGTGACCTCACAGGAATCTGCACACAAGAAGAGACATTAGAGTGAGTGATTGTGTGTGTGTGTGTGTTTGTGTGTGGTGTGGTGTGTGTGTGTGTGTGTGTGTGAGCGTGTTGGTTTTTGTGGTTTACGAGGACCTTTCAGCTGATTCGATTTGATTTGATTAGTTTAGTCGTCTCATTCAGAAACTCAGCTAGTTCAGAAATAAAAGTGAGACTTTAGCTGTAAATAAGATTATCTTGAGCTCCTTTTAGCAACAGTCAATCAAATAAAGAGACTAAAATATTTCATATATGAAAAGATCAAAATAAAACTGTTATTTTTCTATAAAGAGTGGAGTCATCATGGAAAATGGCTGCCATGGAGCTGAGAAAGAGAACTGAATCCAGAAGAAGAGGCAGCAAATGTTACACCTGTTTATAAAGACAAAGATGGGTTTGGTGTGAAATATATAAATCCAGAAAAAGGTAATTTAATATTCATATTTAATTGGCTGTATGTGTTTATTTGTTTGAGGTTAATGTGGTTTGATGTGGTCAGCATGTTCTCTGTTTTCTCTCGTAGACTGTGGAGTATTCAGCTGTGTCCATTCTGATAAGGGAGGTTTTCTTTTGGATCACAGAGGAACTAATAACTAAACATGAACCTGAAAGGAGACAGAAAATCTATCATGATGTCCTGAAAGTGTTCCTGTCTGAATTTCATTACAGTGGAAAGGTTTTTGGTATGAATGATGTCACTCTCTCATTTAGCTGGACACTGGACAGCCACTTCATTAAGACCACCTCCTTGTTTCTGCACTCAGGGTAACAAAGTATCAGAGAAACAGATGAACTACAGTCTGTAATTGTAGAACTACAGAGTGAAACTATGTGGTCAGTGGAGCTGATAAAATGGACAGTGAGTGTAGAAATAAGGAGGTGGCCTTAATGAAGTGGCTGGTCAGTGTAATATGTGAGGAGATGCTGATGTGCTAATTTTTAAATGGTGTTCTGTTGTTTTTGTGGTTCTAGAGCTAAAAGTTTCTGTTATGCTTTATTTATATGTTCCAGTGTTGATGTTGCTCTGGAAGACGACTCTCTCTGGAGACTTGATGAATGATGACCCTGTTAGCCCAAAATGAACCACAGTAGCGGGAAAAACCCTAAATCTGCTATAAGTAGCATTAATATGGAGATGCAGGGTATTTAAAGATGAATATTCACTGTGAATGAAAACAAGATTAACTGATGTTTTTATTTCTAGTCTTTTTTCTGAAACTTCCACATTGATTCTCATAATCATATATTTACAGATGGCAAATGAAAAAGACCAACTACAACCACAAGAACAGCGTCTAATGCAGCCAATCAGATCATGGCTGGAACCACATTTCTGAATTTTATTTCTGTTTCTGGAACATTGCTGAGACAGATGTTCTGGTCACAACTAACCCTCTGGTGACCGAGAAGGACCAGTTCCAGCCTGAGGAGCAGCTTCCACAAGTTCCAAGAGACGCAACACCAAAGGTCATTTAGAGAAACTGTTGCTGTGACTATCAGAAAAATGTTACAGGCGTTTTGTCAGAGTCACAGTGAATGAAGTTCACTCACCATTAAGTGTTCTATTAAAGGGCCCAAATCTTGGAGAAAAACCTGGAAAACCTGGAATGATTGACTTTGCATTTAGTCTTAATTTTTGTTGGATATCACACTTTTGGGTGTGTAAGTTTGATCGTTGGTCACACTTTTTGGTCATCTTTTTGTATATTTTCAGTTGTCTGTTTCTTTCTGGCTAATGATTAAATGCAGTGTCTTGTTCACACTGTCAGCTGGGCTTGTTTGGTGTGTCAGGTGGGCTTGTTTGGTGTGTCAGGTCGAGATTCAAACATTCTGACAGTCGCGCTTTAAAAGTAGCTTAAAAAGTAGCCTCTACTCTTTCTGGAAAAGTAGCTAAATTGTAGCAGCTACAAATTTTGGGAAAGTAGCTATAAAGTAGCTAACTACTAATTTTTCAGTAGCTACCCCAACCCTGAATAACAAACTTGACTGTGTCCTGCAATTATTGATTACAAGGACATGTTGTGTCCTGTTGTGTCCTGTTGTGTACTTGACTAAAGCTGTTGTGAGGGACATGTTTTTGTATATGTGACTTAAAGCTGCTTTATAAGAACAGGTTTGGTTTGTGACGACTGTACTTCATGATACTTTGTTGACCTTTGCACCAATACAGTGATCATTACTGTATTCATAACGCTTTGAACATTGATTCAGATCCACATTCTTTGTCATCATTATTTATTATTCACCATTATTTTATCATGTGTCATTTATGTTATGTTTTTAGACCCAACCCACAAATTTAGTAAGAGCAGTGTTTGTTTTGTGAGGCCTAAATGGGAGACTGGGAAAGGTACAACATGTTCATCAGTACATAAGAACTACCTTTAAATCAATTTCAGAGCCGTCTACCACAGGATTAACATTACAGTACGATATCCAAGTAATAAAGATCTTGCGCTTAACATATATTGATGCTCAGTCTTTTTGCATGGTGATACTGTCACTGTCTCTGTACTGTAGAAGTGAACTCTATAATCATATCAAACAACTGAAAACTTGAGTTCTGGTGATGCAGAAGGTGGATTTTACTGTGTCTCTAGGGTGACTGACGATGACGATAAAGCAGCTAATAGACCAGTAGCCTGTTGCTCGTGATTAACTGAATCTTCTACCATAATCCCTGATCTAGTTTTACATTAAAAGCTACACTGGTAGCTACGGTACTTAGTTTAAAACTGTGCTGCAGAGAATATAAAATCTTGAACATGTGCACGTTAAAACTGATCATATAAATGTGTAAACATTGTCCTCACATTTATCTTTTTATTTGGCATTTAAAAAGTACAGCAAAAGGTTTCCACAGAAGTACGAGTTTTTCTTCCTCTCACATATTAAATGACCAGTTCTGATTCACACCTTCCTCTTTTTTCAGCAGTTTCAGAAACATTCGAGGCTGTTGAAGTTTTGTCTGACCTGGACAAATGCTCAGTTTCTTATGGGCCACTTGCACCGATTAGATGGACTTGAAAGTAGGTTAGGCTGCATGTTTCACTTTACAATTCTTGTATGCCTGAAAAGCTTCAAGGGTTTATATATACTCCCATTAGATGGAGTCATGAATTCAGGCCTCTTAGATTGTCGTCATTACTTGTTTTTCTTTTAGTCTGTTCTGGGATCTGGAATAAAGCTTGTCTGGTCAAAAGCGCTTCTGATGGAGAGACCAGAATCACGGTTAGTTCAATTTAACTCTAAGTTCAGCTTCAAGGGTTTGTGTATCCATTGAATCATGATTTAGAACAGCAGCGTCACACTTTCACTCCAAAATTCACACACTTCCACCAGAGCTACAGAGATTCACTCAGGAGGGAGATTTTCTTTATCAGGGATGTATTTTTTCCACTGTATTCTATCTAAAAACATGTACTTTTTTAATAACCATAAGTGTGTTTGATATGTGGTGGTGTAAATATGTATGTAATGTTATACAGTGTTGATTTTTTTAACAGGTAATGTTGAGTGAGCTAAGCTAACTAGCTGGAGCTAATAAGGTGTCAGTTCATGAAATATAACATAAGCATAGATCCTCTAAGACTGTTATCTTGAGCACAGATGCTCAAAATAAGTAATATATATATTTGGAGCTTATATATAACGTAATTTAGTGATACATACTCAGCTGTCACTGTGTCTTAAGATGTCTTAAGATGTCTTGACAATATTTTTAAGATGTCTTGAGACATTTTTTTATGCCAAGACGTCTCAAGAACGTCTTAAGACGTATGGGTGAAGACACTGTCTTTGTCTTGAGACATGAAAGTTAACGTCTTAAGACAAAGAAGTAATTATTTTATTTAATAATTTTATCTTGAAGATGAGGCATGACTTAAGACATCACTTTGTCTTAAGACATAGAGATGTTGTGTCTTAAGACAGTTCAGTTGAGACCAAAGAGTGGTCCATTACAAAAAGTCCTGTGGTATGAGTGTGGTATTCCTGTGATACTGCCAAACTTACAATACAAAATTACAACTGAGGATTACCAGGATTACCACAGCGCTCCCTAATGTAAAATACGGTTTTACTTGCTGTACTTTTGTAATTCTTGTATGTTTTGTTTTTTGATTATTGCAGAAATGTGTGTACAGTGGCAAAATAGCAAAAGAAAAAATCAATTCTTAAACCATTTACCTTACCTTAAAATGTTTAAACTCATTTCCTTATATCATTGAAGTTCATGGTAGAATAACTTTTAATTTATCTCCACTGGTAAATGTTACAATCACAGTCAGTCACAGCCTTTTGCTCATTTGCTGAAAACATGCTATGATTAAAACAACATTGATCTATTTTCAAATGTACAATTGTAACCAGAGACAACAAGCTAGGAACCAAGATAAAACAACTTTGAGCTAAAAGGAAGTAAATGTACTTAACAGCTAACCTGAGTACTTTAGAGATCTCATACAACCAAAACTTAATGCAAAAAAAGCATTTGGTTCACTCTCTTCAACATCTACACTTCTGTTTATTTTCTTAAGCAGATCAGGGCTGCCCAAAGTTAGACTTTTAATTTGTATAACTTTCAAAATTATTATCTCCAGTATTTGGAAAACACGAACAATAATAAACAAATGTATTTGAGTAGTAATATATAAAGACCTGTATTGTTTCACCACGTAAAACTACATAATAAACAGATTTTTGTTTAAATGTCAAACTTCATACTTCGACTTTAATATATTAAGACATGGCCTCCAGTGATGCTTTGTAAAATAATGCTGTACAGCTGTCTCATGTATTTCAAGGGTTTGCAGTTCTCTATTCTGTGTCTAGATTAAAAACAAACAAACAAAAACAAAGCAGCGCAGTTCATTCAGTACAGCAGAGGCGAACCAAAAAAAGCTCTATGGGAGGACAAACAAAAGACTGGCGGGAGTTTAGACCAATCAGAGCGCGGGACTCCGCCGCTTGGACGTTCGGTTTTGAAGCGCGAGCGCTCTCCGCCGTTCCTCCGTTTAAAGCCGAGCGCGACCGTTACAGCCGTTACAGTGAGCGGGTCTCTCAGGGCGCTAACGCGGGCAGTTTATCGAGTTAGTTTAGCGAGTGTTAAACCTGATAAGACTCTCTTACACTCCTTACTAAGACAGCGCCGCCTGCCGGGTGACGCTTTCAGCTCCCAGAAACGAGGATTTTCTGCTGCGTAGCTGACTGACGATAACTGACTGGACCGAGCGGAGTGGAGACTAGAGTTACGACTGGAGTTACGGCTGCAGCGGTCAGAGTCTGCGTTTAAAAGGTGAGTAGTGACCGAATGAGATGAGCAGCCTCACTGACAGTCAGCTGGAGTAAACTTTTGTTTCTGTATTTCTGGTTGATCTGCCGAGTGAAGACACCAGCGGTAGGCTAGCGTATGTAGCTAGCTAGCTAAGCGGCGTGTCTGTTTGCGCCTCGCGGCTGCGTCAGATCTCGCTTAGCACGCGCTCCAAATGAAAGACTGCCTCAGAAATAAACCTAAGACTGAACACAGCGCAGCAGGGTCAGCGCACTGATCAACAGCGCAGCAGGGTCAGCGCACTGATCAACAGTGCAGCAGGGTCAGCGCACTGATCACAGTGCAGCAGGGTCAGCACACTGAACAATACAACAATGAAACTGAACATAGTCCGTCAGTCTGTGTAGTTCAGAGAGGGTAGTAATGATTTTAATTTGCTCAGTTACATTTACTCTAGTAACATCTTGGTGGATTTGTACTTTCTAGAGTATTTTTAAAATGTATTATCTGTGCTTTAGATTAATAATCTATGTTTTACTCTGCTACATTTATTAGTAATATATAATGACCAGTTTGTTTTGTGTTTTTCATTGTTATGCCTTACTGTTGTTGTTTTGCTGCATTTACCTTATGTGTCTGTTTTGTTTTAGATGTTTCTCATCAGAAATCATCTGAAGCTGAGCAACTGGTGAGACTCAAGTTTTAATTTTTTAAATGAAACTATAAGAATGTCAGACAGATGTTTAGATTTGGTGGGTATTTCAAGCAAATATATTTCATGAAGTATTTATTGTAATACAGAAGAGCAGAATGTTTAGGTAAAGCTGGGTTACAGTATTCAAATATCTGCGCTTTGTTCATTCAATTTATTAATATGTTATTTGCCATTACAGCTGTGTTCAAAATATCGATATGGCAATATCACCAACACTGTGTCAATATTTATGAATTTACTTCTTCACAGTGCTTTAATGTGTAATGCTGCAAGTCTCAGAGCGCTACAATTTATAGCATAAAGCATGTGGTAAACATGATCTAATAGAGTTCAGCTCTTATTAATAATCATTTCATGTAATAATTCTCTGTGAGAGAGATTAGAGACATTGAACTCTTCAAACGTCTGGTTCTTGTCACTGCCACTGTGAACAACTCTGACTCTGTAAGTTTTTCCACAATGGAACATTTTGTATCAAACTACTTTTTTGCATCTTAATGATGAAATTGTGCTTAAAAATCATGTAATTCTCCTTTAACACAGCTTTTAACAGATACAGATATCAGTACTAAGCTCACACCTGCCTCAATAGCAAATGATCATTTCTGTCATGCATAGGTATTATTTAAAGCCTTGTCACATTTCTTTGTGTACTAAATGCCTGAGTTGATTTTAGATGAGTAAAATTATGTATACTGTACATTATATTCTACTTATAAAGCGAATATATAATGCTTTCCCTTTTATTTACTGTGTTATGTAGCTTTTTGTGCATGTAAGATACAAAGCTGAAAGTATCTGCCAGAGGGAGAAACTCTTTCCCACAGAAACCACTTTTCTCAGCTGCCTGAGGGCTGGAGTTCCCCAGCCCTTTTCCTTTGTTACAGGATGATGTAATCCCATAACACAATCCTTATTGCCCACCTACCAGCGAGCTTGGCACGCCCTCACACAACGCAACGCATCTACCGGAGCCCGGGCGGAACCGCTCTGGTGCTTGATCAGTCAGAGCCAAGTGAGCGAACTAGCTAATCTGAGCATACTGGGCTCATCAGGAAGGAGGGGCTTAAAGACACTGGAGCTCTAACAGAGCGTTTCAGACAGAGGGTGAGTAAACAATTACAGTATGAGAAAAATCATGTGTTTCTGGAACACTGAAGCATGTAAATGTATTATAGTTGACCCCAAAAATAAATTTATGAACATTGGAAATTAGCACAACAGGTCCCCTTTAAATTGAGCCTGCTTGTGTATGCAGATCCAAAAGTAATTTCAAATTTATTGTCTTAAAATTGATTTTTTAACAGATGCATTTTCCTCATATCTCTGACAAAGAAGACCAACACTGAGAAAAAACAGAGGAAGAAGCGATGGGCTGTGAATCTGACAGTTGTCTCACTCATCACGGATTTAACTCTGAAAGGAGAGATCGGTAACATTAGCAGTGCGATATCAGTAATGTTAGTGTTCAGGCATTACGGCATGGACATATGCACACTGAGTTATCTGTGTCCTGTTTCCTGTGTCCACATATGTCCACAGCTTGACTCTATTCCAGCTACCAGCACATCTGAGTCTGGTATTAATTGTTTGACAGCTGATCATTATCTGGCTCAGGTATGTTATGAGTACTGCTGGGGTTCAGACCTCTGTATTACTCTGTTGGTCAGTTTTTCTTTTTAGTCCATATTAATTTGTCTTAAAATTGTTTCCTATCATTTATAATTGTTCATAGTACTATATTGTTAATAACCTCAGCATAACTTATATACGGAATAACAGCAGACCTTAAAATCAGATTCATTGGTTTGTGGAACTGTGTATTTATTGCAGTATATTTCAAATTTCTACACAAAGTCAGTTAACATGTTTTTCTCTTTCTGTAGAACATATCAAGTGTGGTGACGCTATTGTACTGTGCATATACACAGTTGTAAAAACAATAAACAATAACTGTAAT